AAATATTTTATCATGAATGCGACGGGGCTTTCCATTTCAGATCACCTTCTTTTTTTAATTCGACAATGTAAACAACTCATCGAGCCTCCCAGTAGCTTGCCCAGCCTGGCCCCTTCGCTGACATCCTAAGCCTCCCCTCTCTACAATGTGTTTTCCTCACCGCGGGGCGGGGGCAGGGGGGACAGTCCGCGGGTCTCAGGGTGCCGAGGGCTCCGGTTGCAGGAGGGTGTCATGCACCAGGCAAGGACAACATGCCGTGGGAGCTCTGGGGCGGTGCTAGTCCACCCAGAGGTGCCTCAGAAGAAATGGCTGGCAACCACGTCTGAGAGATCACCCACTGGAACCCCTATGAGGCGCAGTTCTATGCTGACACACATGGGGTCGCTGGGTCACTGTCACTCAGAATGGACGCCGTGGTAGCTAGATACTTCCAGTTATTTGAGGGCGGGGGTGGAACCCTCACTAACATCAAGGTCAATGCCCAAGATGGAAACTGTTGATAGGTGTGGAAAGCCCAGTCTCTCTGCCTGTGGTTACAAACTGCTGACCATGCCGGTTGCAGCCCAATGCGTAGCCACAACCCTGCCCGGGCTCCTGGTTCTTCCAGAGCTTCCAGGAAATGAGGACTAGCCTTCCCCTCCCTCTTCCCCTGCATCACAGGCACCTGCACCTGTGACTAGCCTTCCACTTGCCTACCTGCTTCTCCACACCTATTCCAAATTCTGTTCCTTTTCTTTTTCTTTTTCATTGAGTGCAGTTTGGGGGTGAACGTTTACAGAGCCCATCGTTTTTTCCACTCACCCATGCATAGAGATTTGTGCTTCTCCACCTTCGTCGCCATCCCCATGAGGTCACAGCACCCTTCCCACATCCTGCCCCCCACCCCATGCTGACCGTCTCCATGGTCTGTCTCCTAGGTTTACACCTCCACCTGCTCCTCTCTCCTTCACTTCCAGCTAGCTCCTCTCACCTCTCACCTTGTTTCTGGGAAACCCAGCCATTCCACTCCATCGATTTCAAATCGAAAGACTTCAGAATGAGGAATGCTAGCGTGGTAGATTCATGAACCCAGGAACTCTCTTTTGGATCCCAGCAACAGATGCACCCCTTGGCAGCAGAGCTGAGAGCCCCCAGGGCTCAGGACCACCTGCAGCACTGGGTAGCGGGCCTGCATTGCATGGGTGGGCGATTTAGTGACATCTTCAGCCAACATGCTTTTTCATAGGGCTTCTTCCGGTGGGATTCAGTCTTAGAGAACCTTTACAGCTCTGGCATCATGATGACATGATCATGTATCCATTATGCCCTGTGTTGTCTGGGTACAGTAAAGTAACTGTGGATTCTCTTGCTGAGAGAAGTTGGTTAAAATCATAATGTGCCGGAGGTTTTTTAAAAATGTGTTGGGACAATGAAGGGATAAATGTTGGAAACAATAGAATTTTCCAGAGGTTTCTCAAGCACACATTCAGAAATCATAATCTCACTCTGTGAAGTGCAAAGAAGAGTATAGGTGAATAATGGGCCGTGTGTTCTCTTACAAGGATCCCTGGTGATGCTTTCTGGAAAGTTTTGGACTAGGACTGCTAACAGCAAGGTCTTTAGTTCAAATCCACCAGCCACTTCCTGAAAGAAAGATGAGGTGATCTGCTGGGGGGGATACCTACAGCCCCACGAGCCCTGCAGAAGACCACTGGGAGTCGGAATTGACCCAACGGCAGTGGGTGGTTGGGTTGGTTTGGGCTACAATTTGTTTCGTAGTGCTCTGTGATGGGTGCAAAGCCATGCGTGTGGTCCTTTCACCCCAAATCTGCCGCACTTACCTCGAAATGGCACACTGAGTATGTACTGGACCACCAATCAATAGCCACCAGCCAAAAAGATGTGGTAAGCTACTTCCATAAAGATGTACAGCCCTGAAAAACCCTGTGGGGCCGCTCTCCTCCGTCCCCTCAGGTCACTATGAGCTGGTATCACGCCGACAGCAGCGAGTTTGGTGTGGGATTTAAGGCCAGTTTAACCGTGCTGAAGTCTAGGAAAATGATCCAAGGGATGGAATCGATCCCACCATTTATGGTCTACTTGTGTTGATTGAGACGCATAGCCCTGGTCTGCAGGAGGGAGGGAAAAGTAGCCAACCCCTGAGCACCGGTGCCAAAGAAAGGAATTTATTTATTTATTTAATCATTCTTATTGGGGGCTCATACAACTCTCATCACAATCCATATATATATCAAATGTGTAAAGCACATTTGTACATTCCTTGTCCTCATCATTCTCAAAACATTTGCTCTCCAC